TTTCTTTCTTTCTTTCTTTCTTTCTTTCTTTCTTTCTTTCTTTCTTTCTTTCTTTCTTTCTTTCTTTCTATTTTATCGTCTCCATCTAGCAATGGGCCTGTACCATTGTTAGGATATTTTTGTTCTTAATATACTTAAAAAAACTCCTTATTGTTCTTAGCTCTGCCAGCCATGGATTTTTCCCAGCTGTCTTTAGCTTCCCTTATCAATTTTCTATACTTCATAACTTCTAATTTATATTGCTTGCTACCCATTTCCGCTTTATCCCCATTGTTATATGTTGCCAGAGACAAGATATTTGGTGTATTTGGATATGGATCCAAACTCTATCCTTGGCTCCCCTTCTCATCCCAGACTCTGAAAGCACAGCAGGTATCCCAAAAAGCACCCCACTCCACTACAGCCCCATCAGTGTATCATAGGCAGGAAGCTACGTACTCACCGGGACTTTGTTGAGTGAGTTCACGATGCTCCTTTTCTCATTATCCACCATCACTCCAAAGAGCGCATAGGCTTGGCCTTGAACTGGCTTCCCATACAGGAACCTGCATGGAAAACAGACCATGGCAGGGAGAGAAAATACTCAGCATTACTCCTATTTAATGGATAGAGGAAACTGAGGCACGGAGGGGCTGGTGAGCCTGGCCCAGGTCACAAAGCCTGAACCATTTGAGCTAAAGAAGTAAATCCACTCACTGGTAGCGGTAGTAGGCTGTTATCCACTTATGTGGAGCAGCCCCTAGGGAGAGACACAGCACATAACCAATGGACTCCAGCACTGAGCCCATTAACAGGAGAAATAAGTGGATTACGAAGGTGACAGCAGGTATCTAGAGACACCGATGAATGCAGATTAGAACAGGTCAGGCTGTGAGCCAACCATTAGCCCAGGTGATTATACTTCATGCGTGAGCCCCAGAAGCCTGCCCCACAGCACTGAACCACAGCAGAAGCACGAGAGAGAAAGAGGGGGACCCACTTGGCTGTAATGTCGATACTAAGCTCATTCTGGTCAACGAGGAAGAACTTCTGGGAAGGCTCCAGCGTCACTTCGAAACTAGGCAGCACTGCAAAAGATCAGAGACATTGCAACAGTCACCCGAGGGCCCGGGGCCATCAGGCTGGAGGTCACAACCCCCAGGGGAAGGGGGTCCTAGGAGACGAAAGGGAACCGGTGTCCAAGATACACAGTGGGAGTGGGAGAGACTCTCCCAGGAAGCAGCTGATGGCCATAAGCCATGGCGAGATGGATCAACAAAGGCAATCGGAAGGTTGGGACTGATTCGGACACCCCAGGTGCTGGGTCTCTCGGGATGCTCTCCCTGGCCCTTGGGAAAGCAGAACCTCACTGCTAAGAGGTGCTTCCCCTAGGACTGTGGTCCTCTGCTGCTACGTCAGCCTTTCTCCCAGCGGGCTCTTCTCCTTCAGTCAATGAGAGACAAGCCCGACGGGGGGCGGATTTTACCTCTAGCTGCTGCAGCTCTAGCTGGGAAGCGTCTGTGGCTCCTGGCATGTCCCTGTCCTCTCTCTCATTCCTGAAGAGGTGGTTGATGGGGCTTCAGAACCACCTAGAAGGTGGGAAGGACTGAGGCCCTACACAGCTTGCACCCAAACCCCCAAACTCAGACAATCTTCGGGCTCCTATCCCTGCTCACCCTGTAGTATCGGACCACAACATACCCCCTCTGCTCAGTGCCCTAAGAGGCTCCACTGTCACACGGACCCTCATCGAAAGGGGCCTCCCCAAAGCTCTTCCCACTATGCCCGGGAGGTGGGAGTGGAAGGGATAGAAATTCCTCCTGGATCCCAAAACCAGCCAGCCGTTCAGCTGTGATAAGGAAATACCCTCCTGTTAGGGGCAGGGCAGGTACCATATTCCTTGACTTCAAACTCCGCGGTGAAGGCCTCCTGAGGGGCATGCTCGTACTTGGAGACAATCTTCCACACTCCGCTGCTGCAAGACACAAGCCCAGATCATGCGGTGGGGAGAAGGATCTATCTAGGTCAGTCAGGCTGGTGCGGTATGCTATTGGAGCTAAAGCACTGGGCTAGGACTCAGGAGATTGGCATTCTGGTTCTAGTTCTGGGAGGGGAATGGGGTCTAGTGGTTAGGGCTGGGAGTCAGGACTCCTTCGTTATGTCTTCAGCTCTGGCAGGGGAGTGGGGTCGAGTAGGTTAGAGCAGGCGGGCACCAGGATGCCTGGGTTCTATCCTAGCTCAGGGAGGGGAGTGGGGTCTAGTGGTTAGAGAAGTGGGGGCTGGAAGTCAGTACTGCTGGGTTCTAGTCCCAGCTCTAGGAGGGGAGTGGGGTCCCGTGTGTTAGAGCGGGGTGGGGCTGGGAGCCAGGGCTGCTGGGTTCTAGTCCCAGGTCTGGGAGGGGAGTGGGGTCCAATGCATTAGAGCAGCAGGGGCTCTGGGTCCCACACCCAGCCCTGCCGCAGACACCACGTGAGACCTTGGACAAGTTCCCGAGGGACAGATTTTCCAGCAGAGCTCAAGCTTAGCTCTCAGTTAGGCAGAACTTGTCCTGGGCTCTTTTGATACAAATCTGGCCATACTGGGAGCAGATGAGTACTAAGTGCTTGAAAAACATCAACCTTAAATCTCTCTGGGCCTCAGTTTTCCCATCTGCAAAATGGGAATACTAATATTTTGACACCTCCCTGGGGTGTTGTGAGAATACCACAATGCAGTCAGGTATCCTAGGGATGGGGGAAGCTGACAAGTAAATAGATAGAGGTATCCTTTCCTTAACTGGAGCCTGCAACATTAAAAAAACAAAAAAACCCTTGGGAGACAGAAGTAAAAAATGGGCGATTATTGTATAGAAAATTTGGTGGCGCCGTGTAACAAAAACACATTGGAACGTTGATGTGCGTAAGCCACGCCCTCTTAGTGTCTAAGCCACGCCCACTCTGTGTGGTACTCTGTCCCCCTCTAGTGGTGGTGAAGGCCCATACAGAGATTGAGGTGCCTGTTACAGCCTTGGTTAAGAAAGCTGATCTGTGTAGATCAGGAAGTAGAGGCTCACATATGCAGATCCTATTATAACCACCTTCCCCAGGTTGTTACAGCTTACTTCACGATATCAGGGATCTTGTAGCTCCTGGAGATGATGCCGCCTTGGTCCATCGAGGACACCGTATTCTTCTCTACAATAATCCCATCTGGATTCTGAAACCAAGCACCAGAAAGAATCAGTCTGAAACCACCGTGCAAGGTGCTGTACATTATTTATTAGGTGTATTACCGTAGTGCCTAGGAGCCCCAATCACGGACCAGGCCAACTCACTAGCCAGCTACATCCAGGAAGCTCCCTCCAGCCCAGGTATTTCAGTCCCTTTTCCCAGGGACACATTTACCTTTCATCCACAGTTCAATGCCAACCAGAACAGGTACCTGTCCCCTCCCACTGCCTCTACAGCAGCTACCCCCAGCCTGGTTTTTCACCTCGCTGGGATGCAGCGAGCCCAGTTCTGGGTCCCTTCTCTGATCCAAGGTCTCCTGACACAGCCCAGAGTCCTCTCTCTCAACTGAGTTACTTGCTGGCTTCTACTGGACCAGAAGACGGTCAAGCTATCACCTGATGCAAGGCCTCAGGGTATCAGCTGAGAGACAGCTGGTTAGTCAAAGGCAGGACTGTGTCTAACTCTTCTTAAAGGGCCAGCCACTCCCCGTGACAAGCGGTTAGCACAATCTCCTGGCCTCTAGGCTTGCTGGTCCATGAAAGGAAGTGAAGCAGAGAGATCTGCAGAGGAGGAAAGCTGGGTAAACAGAAAGCATCTTACCATGAGCTCCACAGATACCACCTTCAAGATGGGGTCCAACATGTGACCCACAGTGAAAAGCCGGTACCTCACTACAGAAAGAGAAAGATGGGGCAGTCAATCGGCACGGGCGGGGGCAATTGGAGCAATAGTGGGACCTAGCCCAGGAACTAGCGACTACATCTATTAGATTTTAAGGCTAGAAGGGACCACTGTGATGGCCCAGTCCAGAGTTTCGCCAAACGACCCTCACTCCATTACATTTACCGCTGCTCAGTGCTAACACTGAGGTGTAACTGGGTGTATTTCGAGAGGTGGACAGAGAACACCTGACCTTGACGGGGAAGGGGGCGCGGGGAATGGAGGAGCCAGATTTCCTCAGTTCCAAATTGTTAGAGCATTTTCAGCACCAGCAGCTGCTGGCTGGGCGCCCAGCTGTGAAGGCAGAGCAGACGTAAGGGTGGCCTGGTATGATCTTGTCCCACTTACTTCTGTGCTGCTGCTGACAGCATCGCTGCCTTCAGAGGTGAGCAGCCAGAGAGCAATGGCTGCAATAATCCCCTCCCCATCCAGCTGGCTCTTCCCCCCCCCCCCAACAGTGTCCTCTATTTGGGAACTTGAAATATGGTAACCCTCTCTGAAGACATCAAGAGATGGAGAATCTACCACTTCCAATAGTTAATCACCCGCACTGTTAAAAAACATGTGGGCCTTATTCTGAAAAAAGAATCAAAATGCTTTGATTTGGCGCTACAATTCTAAGGGCCAATTTCTGTCTTTGTTTACGTTATTTGCTGTTACGGCAGTCCTCGCTAAATGCGAGATGTCTGTATATATGAATATAGTTAGTTCACAGAACAGATGACACTCCCGAATATGTAGCTTAGTTCCTCTGGCTTCTTGTTGTGCATTCTTCACCCACCCCACCCCACCGAATTCAGTCCCTCTGAAAATCAGGCACTTGTGGAGGGAGTGGGGGGGGGAGTAGGAACCCCATAAACGGAGGTGCTCATAATTCGCAGCCACTTCTGAAAATGTTGACCCATGTGTGTAGATGTTGACATAAAGATAGAAGAAAAGCCCCAGCCAAGAACTGACCCGTAGACCCAGGCGTGTAGATGGTCTTATCCGTCTGGATGAAGATGTAGCCGCTGTGGAATGAAAGCAGAACCACCTTCTCTAAGGTGAACAGGCTGCTCTTGGCTTCGATGTAGACATATTCCTTCTTCTGGGCGTCCTTTGGCAGTAGCTGAGCAGGAACCTGGAGCATCGTTATATCATGGGAGAAGATCTTTCATTATGACCCTAACGCTCAGCTACTGAGATTTTAAAGCCATTGGTAGAACTAGGAAGTCACTGCTGTACTCACTGACTTATACCAGTGCCCTTACAGATACTCCATCTCTCTGCACCTGGGTTGCCTTTGGCTTGGGCTACCTTGAGGAGTCTCCACCATGAGCCAATCTGTCCTTCCCCTCACCTAAGTCACTTCGGTGCTTTGGAAAATGTGCTTTGGAAAGTGCTTTTCCCCTGGTTTTAAGGGGGAAAGGCTTGGTACGCCATGACCTGTCCCTCAAACCATCCAGTTCTCTTCTGATTTACCATCTGATAAGACAGAGGTCAGGGTCCCTCCCCACCTAGATAAGCATAGCCTCCCACAGCCCCACCTTAATTTTGGCAGAGTTCATCATGCCGTTCCCAGGGTTCAGGCTGACCGTGGTTGAAACCAAGGCACCCTTCTTTTGTGGGAAGTCGTACACGGTGATCCTCGCCTCGATCGGGCTATGGTGGCCATGAGCTTCCACAGTCACCATCTCTTCGCTCTCCACACGCAGGACGCTTGGGGTGATCAACGTGCATCTGGTAAGGGAAGGGATGAGATGGTAGAGCAAAGTCAGCCAAACTCCATCTCTCTGCACCTGGGTTGCCTTTGGCTTGGGCTACCTTGAGCAGTGATCTTTGCCGCTATCGGAAGGTAAGCAGCTGGGGCCTGGTGGTCAGACGTTGGATAGGAGACCTCCAAGCAGCTAGCAGGTTTCTATAGGAAGTGAGTGGTTCTCAACCTATTTATCATTGTGGACCACAGGTTGAGAAGCACGGTGCCCCCCACAAACCCCTATGCTCAGTGTCCTTTGCCCAGAGACCCCGCCACAGAGTGGGGCCAGGAGTGGAGAGCTGGGCATGGGGCAGGGATCCCCACCCCAGACCCTGCTGCACGGGGACCCCTGACCCCCACCGTGGGGGGCAGCCAAGACCCTGAACCCAGACCCCACCAGGTGGGTAAACTGAGGCACTGAATGCTCATGTGACTCACCCACAACAGGGCAGTGATAGAATTAAGCGTGTTAAAACCCAGGAGTCCTAATTCCTGGTTGTTGTGCTCTAAACTCTGGAAAATATTCCCAAGCTGTTCTGAGAATCAGGCTAGGAGCTAGGACTCCTGGGTTCTCTGCTCTAAATGCTGGACAATATTCCCTCGCTGTTATGAGAAGAGAACCCAAGAGTCCTGACCTCTAGTTCCCTGTTTCAACCAATAGACTTCCCATGTACCTTACCACACTCAGGAGCAGAACCCAGGAGACCTTTGTCTCCTGCCTTGATTTTGCAAATAAATCAGACAATTTGCACCTCTTGCGTTTTTACAATTTTTCTCTTGGCCTGTATGTTTTGCTTTTCTTGCTCATTCTTTGTGTCTGTATTTTTATGTCTAGCCTGTTTGGCAGAGCTGTTTTAGTTACGTTCACAGGCAAGAAAGGGGCTGCAATGTATCTTCTTTCTTTTTTTCCAAACGGGAGAAGCCAGCGTCACATTGCAGCAATCTGCCAGTTCAGATTATGTATTAGGTATATTACAGTGGCACATAGGAGCTGCCCCCCTTCATTGTGCTAGGCACTGTACGGTCAAAAAACAAAAAGTCCCTGCCCCAAAGATCTTACAGTCTGATTATTTATTGCGTGTATCACAGGAGCACCTAGAGGCCCTGATCAAAAATGGGGGGTACCTGTAGGTGCTGTGCACCCGTATAACAAAGAGACAGTCCCTGTCCCAGGGAGCAACGTAAGCCTGGGGGAGGGACGGGTCAGAGTTAGAAAGTTAAGCAATGAATGTTTGCAAAATGAAGGCCTGAGTATTAGGGCTGTTTACCTCGGCTTCAGCTTTGGCTTTGAATTTCCTGTCAATTTCAGGGGTAAGTTACGGGCAGCTAGTGCTGCATCCCCCAGACACAAAACTCTGGTCACCTTCTTTCCACCTTGCAAACATTCAGTGCTTAGAACTGTCCCATTGCAACAGCCCTGTTGTGGGGCAGCCTCCTTCCACGCACTCCCCCATGGCCTCAAGCCAATCCAGCAGGCAGCCCCCTGCCTCAGTTTCCCCCTTTCGAGGGGCTTGGGCAATAACACACAAGCCCTTTCACAGCCCGTCTCAGGTTTGGGTTTATTAAATTAACAAGTATTTCTAAATAAAGTTTGCCAGTCCTTCCTCAAGTGCATCCATGCGCCCCTCTTTATCAGGTCACCCCCAGACAGCTGCCTCCATTGGAGTCTACTCACACCCTGCAGTCTCTGTGCTAGTCTCTGTAGCCAATGATTTTAGTTCAGTTTCCATTTATTGTGTGATGTTATGATTAATCAGTATGTTATTCATAGATTCATAGATTCATAGATTCTAGGACTGGAAGGGACCTCAAGAGGTCATCGAGTCCAGTCCCCTGCCCGCATGGCAGGACCAAATACTGTCTAGACCATCCCTGACAGACATTTATCTGACCTACTCTTAAATATCTCCAGAGATGGAGATTCCACAACCTCCCTGGGCAATTTATTCCAGTGTTTAACCACCCTGACAGTTAGTTATAGTACATATATTCATTGTATTTTCACCACAGTTGATTTGTAGGACTATAAAAGCATAAGATTGATCAGTATTTAGAGGAACTATGTAGTAGACATGAGTAAGACAAGCTGAAACGCAAGAACCTGTAGAGTGAGGCCCGCAAGACTTTAGCGTAGCTATTTTAGGCCTTGGAGACAAGAAATGATGGCGAAAGTCCATGACCGAGAAATAACCCAAAAACTTATGGGAAAGAGGTACCAACTGGTAATATTGGGAAAGTATAAGGTCTTAAAATTAAATAATAAATGCTGTAACAACAGATACTGTCTCTAACACATGCCTTAACCACAAGATAAAGGTGGTACGCCAACGTTAATGAGAACCTACACAGCCTATAGAATTTGGGGTCTCTTGTGTTTCCAGAAGACACAGGCCAATAAGAAAGAGTGGGTTGGGGATGCCCAGAGTGGAAAATTGAGCTGCCTATGGGAAACTCCCGCAGGAACCACTCCCGTATCGATCCATCCATGAGCCGGCTAACAGACCCTAACACCATCTAGGAGGATGTGAGTATGTCGATAGGTATAACTAGTACATGGTACTTATCTCTAGGAATTGTATATGCTGTGACATTTATAACTTTGTTGATAACTTTAATAAAACTACTAAAAGATAGACGCTCTTGTAATTGTCGGTGTTATTTGCCTGTGGTTTCATGTGTTCCTATGAACTCTAGATCCAGAACAAACAGAGATAACTCTGTTGAACTTGAGACTGAAGCCGACAGAGCTGATCCCACTGAAGTAGGATTAACATTAAATAGGAGAAAAGGTTCCTTCTCCCTAGAAATTCCCCTCTCTCCACATTTCTGCTGCTCTAAGCTCTTTGCAGGGAAATCAGGTAAGCCACCTTAGTAATTAGGGTTGACTGGCCCCAGGTCTCTAGCCCTTCACAGGCCAGCCACCCACAAGCCCCATCCCACATGCAGAGTCAAAACTGACAGCATGCAGCCAGTGTTGCCAACTCTCATGATTTGACTGCACGGCTCGGAAGATTTGGTGTTTGCCTTGAAGCTCCAGCTTCCCAGAGTCCTGTGAATGTGTGAGGATCTCGGCTTTTGTTGACATCAAATGGAAGTTTCTAGCATTGCTGATCGGGGATGAAAGCTTGAAAACGTGGCCTGAGCATGACCCTAAGAGGCTCAGAAACCCAAAGATAAATAAAAAGAACCTCCAGTTTGTTGTTTTTATAAAAAATCTTATGAGTGTCCAACCAATCCCGTGATTTTGGGGGCCTGACTTGTCTTTTGAAGGCTTTTCAGCAGTGGCTAGTCATTTGGGGCCCTTGAGTTTTCAGCACCTTTATAAGGGGTCTTGGGTTATAGATCATCTGCTCCTCTGAAAATCAGGCCTCGAAAGCACCTCAAGTTGGGAGCCTAAAAACTGCAGCGTCCCAACTCCTTATTGTGAATCTTGGCCAGGGTCTCTTCAGGGAAAATCCCCATTCCCACACATACACTGTGCTCTCCACTGATCATTGCTTCAGAATCCCCGGGTTACTTACAGCGGCTGGCCGTGAGACAGGGCTGATAAGCTGAATGCAAACACAGCCAGCAGGTAGACAGCAGATCCTCCCATGGCACCAGAAGAAACCACTTCTCCCAGAAACATCTGCTTTTCGTTCGGATGCCTCTTCTGTTGTGAGCTAACCCCCGGGCAGTGGTTAATATATAATTGCAGAAGCTCCCAGACCCCCAGCACTAACTTGATCTCAGGACAGGGGAGGTGGGGTGGGTTAGCGTCCCCGCTGCTCAGTCGGGAAGCAGAAGAGGCTACTTTAAGAGGATGATTTTAGTGAATTTCATGCTGGGGGAAGGTACTAGACCAATGGATTGATGGTCTCTATTTATATCCAGGGGTACAGGACGTCCCTGGGCAATGTGCCTCCACCCCTAATCTAGGCCCTCTATTGGCAGGATGGGCAATTTCAGCTCTCTGGTCCATTCCACTGCCTACTTGTGCCTGTGGTTTTGTAACATGGGCGTGTTTTATCTAGGTATTGCACAGAGAAGTCCCCCTCCTTCCACCCAACATTTCAGGACGCAGCGCCACTCAGGTTTGGCTCGCCCGCCCCTCCGTAGGTGGCATCAGAGGGCCAGGGAAGCCAAACCTGAGCGGGACTGCAAACCCGTGCACCAGGTCGCAGTGCCTCAAACTGGGGGCCCAAGGCAAACAGCCCCTTTCGTCCCTCCCCTCTGGGCGACCCAGAGTGCAGGAAATGTTCACTCCAACCAGGGCAGGGGGTTGGGGTGTGTGAAAGTGGGACAGTCCCATGAACCCCAGGGCTGTTGGGAGGTTTGGAACACCCGCCCCCCCCCCATTCCGGAATGACTTTCAGACATTTGGAGGGGAAATAAACCTTTTTAATGACATTCAGCCAAACGACAACTCCCTCAACAACCTGCACGTCCTGCCCGTTCCCTGGCAATGCAGTGGAGGGGGGGGGAGGGAGCAGAGTCAGGGCTTAGAGAGGCTGGGACAGAGGCAGGGTGGGACAATTGTGCTCTGTACAATCCACAGAGATCGTACTTGCCAAGAGAAACCTGTCTGTGCCATAAGGTCTTGTTTACCTTCTACATCAAGGAAGCACCAGGAAGGGGAAGAAAGATGATCTTGTGGTTAAGACACAAAACTAAGGCGTCAGGACTCCTGGGTTCTATTTCCAGCTCCGGGGGGGGAGAGTGGGATTGAGTGGGCAGAACTGGCCTGTGGTCTATTCTAGCTGAGGGAGGGGAGGGTTATCTAATGGTTAGAGAAGGGAATTGAGGGTCAGGACTTCTGGGTTCTACTCCTAGCTTAGAGAGGGGCCTGTGATCTATGGGTTAAAGAAGAGGATGAGTAGTCAGGGCTCTGGGTTCTACTCCTCGCTACGGGAGTATGGTTGACTGGTTAGAGAAGAAGGGGGCGGGGCAGGACACCTGGTTCTGTTCCTGTCATGAGCTTGCTGTGTGATATTAGCCAAGATGCTCAGAACCAAAATAGCAAAAGCAGCCTTTAATTCTGAATGCCTCCGTTTTTGGGGGTGCCCAGTGTGAGCTATGAAGGCCTGAGTTTCACAGGGGCTCAGAGTCCGCAGAGCCCATTGTCTGCGCGGCCCAGGACACAGCGATCCTACCGGGGAACCTGAGAAACAGCCAACCCTGGGGAAAGGAAGTTGGCCTGGGAAGCCTGGTATCTGGTTATTAGTTTGCTAATAAAGCCAACTTCCAGGAAGAGAGTGCAATTGGCCGTGAGTAATGTGTTTGGACAGGCTGGGGGTGCCACCTGGTCACAGGTTCCCAGAATCCTCCTCACCAAAGCGATGAACCTCAGATTTGGAGAAATCTCTGAATATGTTTGAGAGTTAAAATTCCTCTATTTCCCATCAATCCTGGGTAAACAGTGAAGAAATCAAAGATTGTGCAGGGTTGACAGGAACTGGCAACGCAGATCTGACGTGGATTCAGGAATGGGAGGGTATTGGGGGAGAGTGGGGGAAGTGCCTTGTACCTTTCAGTGTAGCAACAGGTTGGAATTTCCTTGTAATCTCTGTGGACGTGAGGTGCGGGGCATGCCGGCCTCTTAAGAAACCTCAGGAAAAGAAAACACAGCAGTTGCCTGGCAAAGAGCAACAAAACAAAGGCTCTTCTATATGTTAAAAGGGCTGGGTGTCAGGATTCCTGGGTTCTGTTCCAGCTCTGGCAGGGGAGTTGGGTCTAGTGGTTAGAGCTGTGTGTATACTGGGACTCAGGACGGCTGGGTTCTAGCCCCACCACAGGGAAGAAAATGGGGTCTAGTGATTAAAATAGGGAAATGAAGAGTCAGGACTCCTGGGTTCTAACCCCGGCTCTTGATTTGGAGTGGTTCCTCATTTACTTTTCACCTACGTAGCTCGGAAGACACTTTGCATGTTCAGTGCCCTTTACAAACACGGTCACTGCCCTGGGAGGAAGACAGGGGAATAAGCAGACTTCTAAGTTCCTACCAATTGGTATTAAGCCACTAGCCACATGAAGGCCGGATCAGGGGAACTCCTGGCTGTCAATTCCCTTCTCAGTCCACTGCAATCTCACAAATAAGGATGCAACACACTTGTATAGCGGGCAGGGCCGGCTGCAGGTTTTCTGCCGCCCCAAGCGGAAAAAAAGAAAAAAACAACAGCAGCACGATCGCGCTGCTCCACTCTTCGGCGGAGGGTCCTTCGTTCAGAGAGGGACCGAGGGACCCGCCGCCGAAGGCCCGTCCGTGCCGCCCCAAGAGCGGCCGGAGTGCCGCCCCTTGGTATTGGCCGCCCCGAGCACCTGCTTCCTTAGCTGGTGCCTGGAGCCGGCCCTGATAGCGGGTGTGGTCCTGTCGCTCTCTAGTGGCTGACCCCCAGGACTACTACAATCGCTTGCTCATGACGCATTGCTAAGGTGAGACCAAGTAGCAGGAGATGTTGTGTTTGGTTCACAGGTCCCATGTTGGAATCTCACCAGGTGGAAGGCGCTCCCTACCTTACAGGACTGGATCCAAAGCATGGAGGCTAAATATAGTATGGGGAGAAGCTTGCAATATTACTTCCCTAAAGCACTATCAAGACGCACAAGAATGTGTGTTTCCCAGATGACGCAGCTAAGACAGCGGGTGAGCTGTAAAGTGTCCAGATGCTAGCAAACTGGCATGCAAATAATCCCATCTGCAAATAATGGGGCTGTGATGAACTGGGACTGTTCTTAATGTGGTCTTTGAATGCTGAGTGGGGAGTGTTGGCTGGGAAGGCAGGGGAGGTTGCCTAGGACGGTTTGCATTGGGGGATGGGAGACTGGCCTTGAGGGAAGATCCCTGAGCATGTAACATGAGAACCCAGGAAGGGGTTAGAGGCCAGGTGACACCTTTGCTCAGGAAACTGAACAAAGGCTGTGGGAGGGGTCGCTGAAGGGAGAGTTTCGGGAGCTGGCTGGTGGAATGGCTGGGAGGCAGTCAGGGCTCTGACCTCCAAAGGGAGCTGTGGAGCCCTGGGACCCCAAGATGGACCTAACTGGGGGGGATCTTGTTGTCTGTGCCTGCAAGACCTGTCTTGGACTGTATTCCTGTCGTCTAAATAAACCTTCTGCTTTCCTGGCTGGCTGAGAGCCATGGTAAATTGCAGGAAGCCGGGGATGCCAGGCCTTGTGTCCCCTCACACTCCGTGACAGGGGCATGCAATTAAACACAATGATATGGCATGCCAATAAACCAATATGCAACCCCCCCCCCCAAAAAAAACACCTGGTAGGCAAATTAGCAGCATGCAGCAAAGCTAATGGGGTTTTTCCAGCTTTACTCTGAGCGCAGTAATAGCTTCTAGCCCCTGATACAAAGGCACTGCCTTTTACTGAAATCCCCATAGGTTTCCCCTTCTCATGTTCCCCCTTGTTTGCAAATTGCAACAGGGACCTGTTGCCCAATAAATCCTTCCTCGCTCGAGTATTGAACCCAGTTCTTTATCCAGCCGAAATCACAGTCCACCATGTGTTTGTTCAATAACATGCGCAGGTTGTCTGTGGGTTGGAGGGTCAGGGCCATGTTCATCTGAATCGATCTAATATTAAATTATTCAATGTGAAAGGTGGAATTCAGCAGCGTGGAGTCCCCGGATATTTCACACAGCAGCTACAAGGTGGCTCGCTAATCCTGCAAATCGCCCATATCGGGCACGCTGCATTTCTTTTACGTTCTTTCTGTAGCAACTTGTGGCAAATAGTATAAAGTGCAGATCTTAAAGTGCAGTTCCTAGGGGCCGCCTCAGGCTAAACTTACTGTTATGACATTTCTTTCTATTTTCCAAGTCCCACTGTTTGGCTTTTGTGTTTTCACGTTTCACTTTTCATCATCGCTCCGATCTCACTGAGAGCTTTGTTTTCATGTGTTGAAGAGCAGCGCACTTGAGTGCAGGCTTTGTGAAATGGGGCCCAGAAAGAGTTTTTGGGAAATGCCTGGGCTCCTCCTCTTACCTAATCCCCTGACTTCCAACTATGTTTTTCAGGAGTTCCTTTCCTGACCTTTCAGAAGTATGCGCTGAAGTGAACCAAATACTTTATTTCATAAATTGAAATACACCCCTTGAAATCTGCTTGCTGTTCTGGTCACCCCATCTCAAAAAAGGTATATTAGAAATGGAATAGGTACAGAGAAGGGCAACAAAAATGATTAAGGGATTAAGCTTCCATATGAGAAGAGATTAAAAAGTCTGGGGCTCTTCACCTTGGAAAAGAGCTGACTAAGGAGGGATATGACAGAGGTGTGTAGAATCAGGACTGGTGCGGAGAAAGTGACTAAGGAAGTGTTATTTACCCCGTCACATAACAAAAGAACCTGGGGTCACCCGATGAAATTAATAGGCAGCAGGTTTTAAACAACCACAAGGAAGTACTTCACACATCAGGCAGTTAATCTGTGGAACTCATTGCCAGGGGATGTTGTGAAGGCCAAAACTATAATGGAGTTCGAAAAAAGAACTAGATAAGTTCATGGAGGATAGATCCATCAATGGCTATCAGCCAAGATGGTCAGGGATGCAACACCATGCTCTGGGGGGTCCGTAAGCCTCTGACTGCCAGACACTGGGACTGGATGACAGGGGATGGATCACTTGATAATTGCCCTGTTTTATTTATTCCCTTTGAAACACCTGGCGTTGGCCAGTGTCGGAAGACAGGATAGTGGGCTAGGACCATTGGTCTGACCCAGTATGGCCGTTCTTATGTTCTTACATTAATAATCCTCTTTCCACTGCTGGGAAGTCATCGTTAGGACAGAAAGGGCAAGATTAACCCTTTCATTGCAGGGCCACTCATCCCCCACCAGTCCTAGAATAGTCAGAGAATTACAGTATAGTACAGCCTGGCAGAGTGGTCATGGTCCAGCCGTTCTCTGTCTTCCTTATTCAGATTGTAAACAGTCTCTCATCATGAATCCGTGCAGAACCTGGCACAACGGGGCCCTGATCTCAGCTGGGGCAGGGGCTGTCCCTCACTAAGTTACTGTGCAGTGCCTGGCACAACAGGGCATTGATCTCAGCTGGGGTCTCTAGGCACTGCAGTGATACAAATAATAACAAATATTCATTAATGAGGGCACAAAATCTACTTGCCCATTGATAATGGGACAACTAATGACATTTTACCTGCCTGTTAAAATAAATTTGCAAGGCTGGTGTGTGGATTATGGATTATTATTGTATACTCACCCCCAAATCGAGAGCGGATACCTTTCTGGAAGGTATATGCTTAAGTGGGTCACCAGTTATTGGGCTCAATACAGGGGGAACTGAGTGAAATACAATAGCCTGTGCATTGCAGGAGGTCAGACTGGATATTAAGATGGTCTCTTGAAAATCTGTGCCTTTTGGACCAGATATTGCCTCGGCCAGTGTAAATCGGTGTCGTTCCACTGACAGGAGTGGGGGTAAACGGCTTGACATCAGCTGAGCATCTGTTCCATTCAATACTCACTACTCATTCAATACAGTAACTCCACTGAGACCAGCCTGTGATCTGACCCTGAGTGTATAAATTAACGCGTTGGGGCAGGGACTGCATCTTGCTGTGTGTAGGTACAGCGCCTAGGACAGTGGGCCCCCGATCTCAGCTGGCATTTCCATAATACCAGGCCACAAACATGACTTGCTCCCTGTCACCCTGATGGAAAAATTAAAATCTTGCTTGTAAAACAAAGGGTGAGGCTGATTATTACAGCAGTTTCAAGTCTTGGGCTCACACACGGATTTGGGGCCAGCGCCTCGGCTGGTGCAAACCAGCATTGCTCTAACGAAGTCGATGGAAGTTGGGCCGTTTACGCCAGCTGAGGATGTGGCTCTCAGGTTTTAAATGGAGCTAATGATGGCAGCATCTGCCCAGCTCTGTATTTATTATTCATATTGCATTAGCACCTCGAGGGCCCAGCATGCTAGGCGCTGGTCATACATAGCAAGGGGCAGTGGCTCTGTTCCAGAGATTCATCATCCAGAGGCAATGCTAGAGGTCACACTGCAGGTCAGGGGCAGAGCCTGGAAGAGAATTCAGATCTCCTGGGTTCCAGGCGACTGCCTTAGCCATGACACCACGTTGCTTTTACTTTCACCACTCCCATTCTATTGAGCCCTCCTTGGTCCCGCTAGCCATATGGCATTGTCACCGCTCAGACTTGTGACACCCGTTGTTAGGTAAGCCCAGTTGGCTGTTTATCCATAAGTAAATATGTTGCAATTGGATGTCTTTGGATATTGTCCAGACTGAAGCCCTGTCCAAATACCACTGTCATGAAAAGAAACCTGTTACTGGAAGGCAGCTGATAACCTGCCTTCCCCCATTAACCCTTCCCTGGTTTGCAGTGGTTTGCTTTTACCCAGAGGAAGGAAAAAACAGACTCTGAGATGAGTGATCTCAGTGGGGCGAGGCGAGTTCATACCAGCGGAGGATCTGGCCCAGAGATCTGAAGGTCTGGTTCATCAAGGAGGTTAACCTCTAAAAGGCCAGGTACTGGATTACAGGGTTATTGCAGGTGAACAGCGATAGGTTAACCGGTGCCTGTGCAAATTGCTGTTTCGAACTTCAAAGCCACCGAAGGGATTTTTATACTCATCTGCCATTAAAATGTGTCTGAATCTCCTACATGGCTTTGAAGATGCCAACCATGATGTATTGTTTAGGGGCACAGGAACTGCCACACTGGATCAGATCATAGGGTCATCGCCAACCATGGCCATTACCAGACATTTCAGAGCCAGGTGCAAGAAACTCTACTATGGACAATTATAGCCTGCGTGGGGAGGGGACATTTCCTCTTAACACCCATTGCCTTATACCCTGAAGCAGGACTATCATGTGGCAATAGGTTCCACAGACTAATTCCACATTATTATTTCCTTTAATCAGTTTTATGTTACCTGGCAGTAGCACCCAAAGGCCTTCTTTGTGCTAGGTGCTGTGCAAACATACAGAGCAGGTGTAGATGATGGGTGGTCGAACATGCTGGTCCCACCATTGCTACCAGCAGCGTAGATTCCCTAATAGAGTGCAGCGGAGTCCTGGCCTAAGAGACAGTTTCTGCCCCAAAGGTTTTACAACCCAAGTGAGTGGGATAGACAGAGAGATCCACCCTTCCGGGGCTCCCTTCACGACTGGGACCACTTGCCCTACTGAAACATCCCAGGACTTGCCCAAGGTAAAACAGAGTCAAAAGGCAGATCCAGGAACAGAACCCAGGAGTCCTGATTCTCAGCCTGCCTCCTCGTTGTAACCCAGTAGATCCCACCCAATTGTCCTGACTCCCAGCCCACCCCTGCTTTAACCCACTTGATCCTATTTCTCATTCACAGCTGGGAGCAGAACCCAGGAGTCCTGACTTCCAGCCCCCCTTCTCCATGCTAGGCCTGAACTGCGGTATTGATCAGAGCCCCACCATTCTGATCTGTGGCCAGCACCTTGGCGTGGAGTAAACACAACCACAACCTCAGGTCCCTAATTCCAACTCCCCCGCTTGGAAAGACAAATAAACTCTTGTGTCAAGGGAGTGAAGAAAACATCTTTTGTTCTGAACTTTTCAGGTTTCCTGGACTCCTCCCCCTCACTGACTAACCCGCCCAGCTGTGTGCACGAGGGCTCAGCTTACAGGCAACTCTGAGGATAAATAGCCCCGGAGGAGCTACTTCTCCTGACCCTCCTGTCCTCACCATGGGGGGCTCTGCTCTCTGCCTGGTGGCCGTGTTTGCTTTCTACTTCCCGGCTGTTTCTCACAGCCAACTGTAAGTACCCCGCGCTTCTGCCACGGTGATGAGGATATTAACCTGGGTTCGTTACATGGCTGCCAATGGAAACCAAGCTCAATTTCCCTCTCTTCTCTGCTACTGTGTGTGGAGTGGGAACAGGCTGCAGAAATTCTCTTCCTCACCTGGTCCAACCCTCTTCTCCCTCGCTCAGTTCCGAGGCTAATTTTGGGGTTTGGAGGATGGAATTTTTTTTAAAGAATAAACTGGATTTTGAGCCTCACTTGGTCTAAATGAACCAGGTATAGACTGGGAGTAACTCTATAGAAAACAATGGGGTTGTACCCCCCTGAAATGCACTGAAATCAGTGGGGTTGTCTTTCCCTTGACTTCAGTGGGCTTTGGATCAGCCCCTAAAGGAGACCAGAATCAGGTTCTACAGGGCCACATCTTGAACTCCTTGCTCAGTGTCTATGTCCGCAAGACCCCCCAGGGGGGCTAAATTCTATTTTCAGTGTATACTGGTTCAAACCTGGAGTAACTCCACTGACTTCAAAGGGTAGTTAGTTAAACTGGAATAATTCCATTAGCTAAGGGGATTGCTGATGGTGCATGAGGCAGACCAGAACCCAGTTCATTTCCAAGGGGCTGGTGGGCGTCCGAAGCACAGTGGTCCACAGCTTGGGCACTGCACTGGGAGTCAGGACTCCTGGGTTTTATTTCCAGCTGTTGGAGGGAATGTGCCTGGGGGGGGCCAGAAGATGGGAATGGGAGTCAGAACTCCTTGGTTCTACCTGACGCTCTCACAAGGGGGATATCCGGGAGACATCTGGGTTCTAGGAGGGGAATGATGTCTAGTGGTTAGAGCCGGGTGGTGTGACTAGGAGTCAAAACTGCTGGGCTCTAGTCCCAGCTGAATCACTGACTGGCTGTGTGACCTTAAGGAAGTCCCTCCCCTTTTCTGTGCCGGCCTCTCCCTCATCTGTGAAAGGGGGATCATGACACTTACCTACCTCTGTAAAGTGCTGCGAGATCTATGTCTGGCGACTGCTTTGAGTGTGACCCCGGGGCTAAGCTTCTATTGTCCCTCTGACTGATTGGCTGCCTGGCATGGTTACCGCCTCCCGGCCTGTTCATGTCTGTGCTGGGGTGGCCAGATGAACAGCCAAGAGCCAGACCAATTGCCCATGTGCTTGGCTCTAAAGCTGGGAAGGGATCTTGGTGCCAGGGGGTGGCAGTGATAAAAGGGAGGAGGCAGGAACAGGTAGTTTGATTTGATTTGGTGCTGCCCCCTATGGCCAGGCCAAACGATGGACGTGACACTGAGCGGGTGACAGAGGGAAACTCCGAGGGATTCCCCCCTTCAGAACTGGGGGGAGGGGGCTGCTTAAAGGTTCATCCCACCTCAGGGGCCTGCTGAGCCAGTGAGAAGCCAGAAGCTGCATGAGAGATGCATTGATGTGTCAGGATGACCCAACTCACCTACAGAGCCTGGGTCGGGTCACCACCCTCCCCATGGTGCTGGAGGGGCTGCCGTCCGGATGCCAGACTTCAGGGTGATAGACAGACATTCAGATGTGGGTCTGGTTTTTGCAGCTTGACCCCACTGGGAATGCACCACGGTGGGCTGCAGGCCAGACGCGCAGACCTCGGTGCAGCTTTCCCCAAAGGGTTCCAGAGATTTATGAAACCTGTTTCTGAGCCTGGGCCAACTTTCAGGAAAGGAGCGGGGAGGATTCTCCCAGGAGGGAGAGAGGAGATTTGGTAGCCACTGTGCAGTGCTCACTCCAGGTCTCACCCCTGACCTGCATCTCTAGGAGTTTTCAGAGGAACATCAGGGGCTACATGGTCCATTTTGCCAGCGCTCTGGTGGATGGCTGGTACCAAGCACACGCCCTGCTTAGATGCTCCTGGTATTGCCTGCGGAGCAGATGAGCAGTAAACATGGCCCATGCTCGAAGACTCCCCAGCGCAGCTAATGCTCCTCTCTAGGCAGGGTCAGGCCGTGCAAAGGGCAGCACATTCCAGAGGGCTCCGTAACAGGGTCACACACGCTGGCTGCAGACCGTACGATCGGAGTTGATGGAATGCAGGACACGGTATCGTCCTCTCCAAGGGGCACTGGGGTCAGCACTAGCTCAGATGGGAGAGCTCCTTCTACTGAGCCACACACCCTGCTCCCTGCAGCACAGCGCCCCCTAGCGCCACACTGGGGTATTGGGGTCAGCACTGACTGCCAGGGGAGAGCGCCCCCACTGAGCCACTCACCCTGCTCCCTGCAGCACAGCGCCCCCTAGCACCGCACTGGGGTATTGGGGTCAGCACTGACTGCCAGGGGAGAGCGCTCCCTGCTGTGCCCCCCACCGTGCCAGATTAAAGAATTTTGGGGCCTTGTATGCACTATGGAAATGGTGGGGGAGTGTGTGGCTGGGGTGTTGGGTCCTACCCCTAGGGAGTGGGAGGACCTAAGAGGGTATAGGGAGAGTGAGCTCACAGCACAGTTACCCCATATGGTGGTTCTTGTCCCATGGGGCTGGCCTGGCTCCTTGCTCCGGCCCATTGGCTGTCACCATAGTGCACCGGCAGGGGTGGGGCCTCTGTTTCCATTCTGGTCTGGCGCCATTGGCTCACCTGCCCCAAGCTGGACTTTGATGGGCCCAAACAAATAATCTGGCAGGCTTTGTTCATCTCCCCGCCCGAGTGGCCAGGCACCCCCGGAGATGGGGGCCCAGTGCAAGAGCACTGAGTACATGTGGGTTAAACTGGGCCTGCCCCCCCAGCACAGCACTAGCATCAAACTGGGGCATGCAGATCTGCACAGAGTTGGAAGAGAGCGCCCCCTACTGGGCCAGCCACCACCTAACTGGTTGCAATGCAGCACCCCCAGCACCATGCCAAGGCATTGGGGTCAGCACTGACTTAAAGGGAAGAGCATTAGGCCGGGGGACACATCCACTCACAGCAATTTTCAGTAGGGACAGGGAGTGCAAAAGCCCTGAACTTTTCACCTATGTGTGTGTGTGTGTGTTTGTGTGTGTGTGTGATCTTTATCTGGTATGAAAAACTCAGGTCCAATCATCTGTCACCCTTCTTACCGGAGTGACACACAGAGAACTTGGCTGACATTTAGCAAAACTTTTTATTTCCCTCCAGGCCTACTTCCTTGTGAATTCACAACACTGTGGGTGATGTAATCAGTCAATGATTTCACCAGGAAGACCGCAACCCTGCTTTAATTCCATTGCCTGAGGGGGGATTTTCCAGACAGCTTAGATGATTTAGGGGCAAAGTCAACTGGACTTGGAAGAGCTTGTCTCCATGAAGAGTTAGTTCACAGCAAACTGAGGTGGAAATCTACCCCCCACTGCACACTAACTGTCTGTGAGGACACTGTTAATGTGCACTAACAGTTCCTTAGTGCACTTTGTCTTCGTGCACCTTGGGCCCCAGCTGCCGAGGCCCTGCTGCAATTTTTAGGCACCAGCTCGATCAGAGCTAGCACCTGTGTGCCCTGGTCTACATTTAACATTTAGGTCAACCTAGCTACATTGCCCAGGGGTTTAAGCAGTACTGTAGTTAAGCCAACTTAACTGCTGGTGTAGATGCGGCTAGGTTGATGGAGGAATGGATGGTGCATTATCTACACCGACAGAAAAAGCCCATAGTGTAGACAAGCCCTATGTCTACCCAAATTGGGAGTTACGCCTCCCAGCGGCTGTGTAGACATACCCCTAGGGGCAGGAACTCTCTCTTACTCTGTGTTTGTACCGTGCCTCAGTCGCTGCTGGGATTTCGAGATGCTGCTGTAAAGCAAATAATAAATGGCAAACCGCAGTAACAAGCTTAGTATAAAACCTCCTTGGGGATGTGGGAATCGCAGCCAGTGGGGTTTTAAATACTGACTGAATTAATCACATCGACCTTTTTGCCATTCACAGCTACTCCCTGATCACGCCCAACGTCCTGCGGGTGGAGAGTGAAGAGAAGGTCGTGGTGGAAGCCCATGGCCTCAATGCCCCAGTTGCGGTTACAGTCATCGTGCAGGACTTCCCGCTTAAGAAAAACATCTTATACCAGGTCCAAATCGACCTCAACCCTGCGAATGGGATGATGGGCACAGCCGTAATAAAGGTGGGTAAAACTCCCCATCAGCTGTTTCGTGGCATGCAGGGGGCTCTGGGGCGGAGGGAGAAGAGTGAGGGCATGGCACGGTCAGGGGAGGGGGCGGGAAGGAGTGGGGTGGAGGCAGGGCCTGTGGCAGAGCCAGGGGTTGAGCAGTGAGCCCCCACACCGGCACATTGGAAAGTTGGCACCTGTAGCTCCAGCCCCAGAGTCGGTGCCTATACAAGAAGCCGCATATTAACTTCTGAAGAGCCTTATGTGGCTCCGGAGCCACAGGTTGGCCACCCCTGCCCTAGTGCTCCAAATTAGGAGGTAGAAGAAAATGCTGAGAGGAAGGATGATCCAGTGGTTAGGGTGCTAGCCTGGGACTCAGAGGACCTGGGTTTGATTTCCATAAGAACATAAGAACGGCCGTACCGGGTCAGTCCAAAGGTCCATCTAGCCCAATATCCTGTCTACCGACAGTGGCCAATGCTAGATGCCCCAGAGGGAGTGGACCTAACAGGCAATGATCAAGTGATCTCTCTCCTGACATCCATCTCCATCCTCTGACAGACAGAGGCTAGGGACACCATTCCTTACCCATCCTGGCTAATAGCCATTAATGGACTTAACCACCATGAATTTACCCAGTTCTCTTTTAAACGCTGTTATAGTCCTAGCCTTCACAACCTCCTCAGGTAAGGAGTTCCACAAGTTGACTGTGCGCCGCGTGAAGAAGAACTTCCTTGTATTTGTTTTAAACCTGCTGCCTATTAGTTTCATTAGGTGACCCCTAGTTCTTGTATTATGGGAATAAGTAAATAACTTTTCCTTATCCACTTTCTCCACATCACTCATGATTTTATATACCTCTATCATATCTCCCCTTAGTCTCCTCTTTTCCAAGTTGAAAAGTCCTAGCCTCTTTAATCTCTCCTCATATGGGACCCTTTCCAAACCCCTAATCATTTTGGTTGCCCTTTTCTGAACCTTTTCTAGTGCCAGTATATCTTTTTTGAGATGAGGAGACCATCGTACTCTGTACTCAGTATTCGAGATGAGGGCGTACCATCGATTTATATAAGGGCAATAAGATATTCTCAGTCTTATTCTCTATCCCCTTTTTAATGATCCCTAACATCCTGTTTGCTTTTTTGACCGCCTCTGCACACTGCATGGACATCTTCAGAGAACTATCCACGATGACTTCAAGATCTTTTTCCTGACTTGTTGTAGCTAAATTAGCCCCCATCACATTGTATGTATAATTGGGGTTATTTTTTCCAATGTGCATTACTTTACATTTATCCACATTACATTTCATTTGCCATTTTGTTGCTCAATCACTTAGTTTTGTGAGATCTTTTTGAAGTTCTTCACAGTCTGCTTTGGTCTTAACTGTCTTGAGCAGTTTAGTATCATCTGCAAACTTTGCCACCTCACTGTTTACCCCTTTCTCCAGATCATTTATAAATAAATTGAATAGGATTGGTCCGAGAACTGACCTTTGGGGAACACCACTAGTTACCCTTCTCCATTCTAAGAATTTACCATTAATTCCTACCCTTTGTTCCCGGTCTTTTAACCAGTTCTCAATCCATGAAAGGACCTTCCCTTTTATCCCTTGACAACTTAATTTACCTAAGAGCCTTTGGTGAGGGACCTTGTCAAAGGCTTTCTGGAAATCTAAGTACACTATGTCCACTGGATCCCCCTTGTCCACAAGTTTGTTGACCCCTTCAAAGAACTCTAATAGATTAGTAAGATACGATTTCCCTTTACAGAAACCATGTTGACTTGCTCAACAGTTTATGTTTTTCTATGTGTCTGACAATTTTATTCTTAACTATTGTTTCGACTAAAACAATAGTCCAGCTGTGTCACAGACTCTCTCTGAGTCCTTGGGTAAGTCACTTAGTTGCTCTGTGTCTCAGTTTTCCCATCTGTGAAATATAGATAATAGCACTTCTTTATTTTGTGGGGGGGAGGGAAAGGGTCATGCTGTGAGGGTAAATGCATTAAAGTTGAGGCACTTGGGCAATAATATACTGACATGTTAATAGGGGCCATATAATAACTTAAATAGATAAACTGAATCACAGTGAGATCTAACATAGATTATCAGGATTGGAAGGGACCTCAGGAGGTCATCTAGTCCAACCCCTTGCTCAGATCAGGATCAATCCCCAGACAGATTTTTGCCCCAGATCCCTAAATGGCCACCTCAAGAATTAAGCTCACAACCCTGGGTTTAGCAGGCCAATGCTCAAACCACTGAGCTATCTCTCCCAGATATTAGTTCTGTTGCTTAATGCATGACTGGGAGATACTCAGGTATTGTGGTGGTGGTACAAGATCCCATACTGAACAAAACATGCCAATGACATGATTTTGTTCATTTTTTGGCATTTTCCATTGCAAATAATAATAAAAAAAGACGACTATGAAATGGTTAAAGTCACAAGAGTTTTGGTGAATACTTTGGTCTTAATTCCTGTTAACACGTCAAAGCCAATTATTTGTGTCTCAGCTGACTTGGGAGCGTCTTCATTCAATGCACCGAGGTTCTGTGGTCAGGTACATAACCATATGCACTATGGCTCGTGTGTGCACTGCCTGGGAAACTTGCTCAGAGTTTGCCAAGTCCTGTCCCTAGTCTGCGCTGGGCACAGCAGCATTTCTGGGTGGGGTTCGCTGGTGGAGCAGGATTCTCGTTGTGAGTTGATCCAAAGTCCTGGCCGAGAATGGAGAGTTGAGGGGACAGAGGGAAGGTCTCCAAGATGTTACAGTTTTAGGGGAGCACAGTAGGAATAGTCGGGAGCACATCAGTGCAGTAGAACTGACTTCAGCAGGGCACCCATGGGATGCCCTTTGGTTAACAAACATTCCATATAAGAGGAGGTGACCGGACAATGGGTACTGGGCCGTCCAAATGGTCTGGCCTGATACACTGGTGGTGACCTACGCTGACTGTGCCATCCTGGGAATCCCCCTCCACCTGGGGTATTCCCCAATGAGGAGACCCACCATCTTCTCCCAGCTGTGTAAGCTGCTGGAGGAACTGCATGTAGAGTGGGTTAGTAAAAGACCAGGGTTTCTTTCCATGTATAACTTAACCGCTGTTAACACTGCAAAGGTCTTTTGCATAGAGCATCCCTTGTGGTGGTGAGTAAAGGCAGGAAGAACTCGTCCATGCTCTTCTTCTCATGCAGGTTCCCACCAAAGACATAAAGAAAGATTCCAGACAAAACCAGTATGTTGTAGTCAAGGCTACGTTCCCTCAGCAAACCCTGGAGAAAGTGGTTCTGGTCCATTTCCACAGTGGATACATCTTTATCCAGACGGATAAAACCATCTATACACCCGGGTCTACAGGTACTGCCTTCCCCTGGTCTCTTCTAATGGGAAGGGGTGGGAGCTGCTGATGTCATGTCCTATCTACAGCAGGACTGCGGGTCCATCCTGTTCATATTGCTTTGGTTGTTGTCTGGTTGAAGATGGAGGACAGTTGGAGCAGAGACTCTGCCACCACCAATTTGCAATATTTCATCCTTCACCATTGTCCTAGCTGGAATGTCCCATTGAGTGTTAGATACCGAAAGACTGGGTGGGCCATGGGATTGTGAATGGGCGATGGAACTTTTCAAATCACAGTGACTGGTTCTGCTCCATCTTGTACCGAGATACATGTCCCCATCTGACGACCGTCCCAAAGCCTGTGTGAAATAGGGGCTGCTAATCCCAGCCCATTCAGAGCAAGAAAGGTCCCTGCAATGACAAAGCCCGCCCACCTGGTATGTAGCGACAGGGGAGAAATGCAAGACAACACCCTAAAGAAAAAAGCCATGGAGATCTCAGGCTGTAGAAAGAGGCTATCGTGAAACAACCCTGATGGGGCTGATGGCTCAGATCCTCCGTGGAGTTAGGCACCGAACTCCCATTGGTTTCAATCAGACTTAGACACCTAAGTAGCTTGGAGGATCTGGGCCAAGGCGTCTATCAGTTAACAACGTCCCTCTCTTCTCTCTTTATTTTCTCAGTCCTCTACCGGATCTTCACCGTGGGTCACAAACTGGAACCGGTGTCTAAGACAGTGATCGTGGAGTTTGAGGTGAGGTGGCTGTTCTGAGTGAGCCCGTGGGGGATAGGTGGGTTTAGCCACTTGTCTGGGTAACGCGCTGCAATTTATTGTGACTGAGGAGGATGCATAGACACAATTCGTGTAGCAGCAACATGGTACGGCCGGGAGAAAAGCAAATGATTGTCTGAGGTCCCTCCTTGCAAACTTCTGGCGTCCAAATTCTCCCCCAGTCATTAGGGAGGTAGCTCTTGGGGGAAGTCCCGCGGTTCTGCAATGGTGTTAACGCTTGAGGAAAGTTGCGTGGAGTTCTTCAGGAAGAGCCAGGCAGGTGCTTGTCTGGGAAGACTGAAGACAAGGAGGCACTGCAAGGAGCCCTTTGAAGGACGTGTAAACTGGTGGCAGGAACAGGGCTTATAGCTCCAGGCGTTAGTCCTCTTAAGGCCCTTTCCACTGGGCTTTATAATCCATAAAATAAAGTAAATCAGCTGCAATCCCCTGGGCAATAATCCCCTGGGGTTTCCTCACCTCAGCCAGCTGGGAGGGGAGAGAACACATCTGTCCCTTCAGTTCCTATTTGACTCAGTTTCCCCTTTCTTTGACACTCTGCCTTGAGCAGCAGCATAACCAGCTGGGGCCTTGCGATGGGGAGCAGCTGTGTCTGGCAGAGCGACGCGGCCCTTGGGGCAGCTCCAAGGTTTGCAGATAGCTCAGGGTTAAGCCTGGCGTCTGCAAGATTCTGCCGTGGAGGCTCTTAAGTCATCCGAGCTGCTTCCTTGAGTTCTTTGGTGGCCTCGCTGAGCCAGGTCAGGAGAGATTTGTCGGTTTTTCCAGTGTCTCTGGCTAGTTAAGAAATTCCAACCAATCAGTGGAGTCCAGATTGTTACGTGCTATTGCTGGAAGTGTGGAGAACCCTCCACTGGCCCAGGAATGTAAACGTGGCAGATGATGTCGTTAAGAGCAATTAACAGCATTTTTCTCCCTAAACTCTCAATTTGTTTCCTTTCCAGACCCCTGAGTCCATTATTGTCAAGCAGATTCCCATCTCCGCCCCCTTGAAATCAGGCATCTTCTCCCTGAGCCACCCCTTGCCGGACATTATCAGGTAGATTGCCTGATGTTACTATGCCTGGCCGGAGCAGAGCTTTGCAGGAGTTGGGCAGGGAAGCAAAACAGATGATGTGGAGCTAGTTACTGTGTGTGGCCCATCAGCTAGATCATCTCCTACAGGCATTTCCAAGTGACGTGGAGAAAACAAACTCTCCTGCCACATACCCAGTCTTGGCATAATTTGATTTGTATTTGTTATAGTTTGGATGGATAATCATATGGCCAATTACACAGGGTATAAAGGATAAAGCCTTAAATCAAACTGTAGTAAGTTCTCAAGCTGCATTTTTTTTGCTTTGCCTATCTGTAAATTTCGATATTAGCGATGGAAATGTGTTTTTGTCGGTATGCGTGTGCACGGTGAAATCAATGACACATATCGATAAAAAACTAATCTTTCCAAGTCTACACAGACACCAGAATGAAGCTGCACTGACTTCCTTGCCATTACTCCTGATTTATTCCAGAGTATGTGAAGGCAGGATTAGGCCCTGTTTTTCAAAAATGCTGAGCACTCTACCTCCCATTCAGTTGGATTTATGAATGCTCAACTACTCTGAAAATTATGTCAGTGAGCTGGTGAGCGAGGGGCTGATTTTGGTATGGATTGGAGTTTCCTTAAGTTTGAGGGTGTTTGGATTGAGGGTTTTGGTCCACGCAGAATGTAGAAACAAGCCACAAAGTTTAGATCCAAACTTCCCAAACCTTGCTGGCCAAAGGTTGACGTTTTGTTCCAAAGTCCCTACCTCTAGTTCTGGTTCATGAGAACATCTAGGTGCAGCAAAAAATGACTTGTCTGAGGTTCCCTGTGGTTCCCTCAAGATGGCTTGAGTTCCATGTATGACTCAGATTTAGCTTCAGGACCCGATAAAATTACTGGAGAAACAAGTGAGCTAGGTGGGCCTTGCGAAATGTGCGTGTTAAGTGCATTCAGTGTTCCTTCTTATTTCCTTCCTGCAGCCTGGGAACCTGGAAGATCACGGCCAAGTACGAAGACTCCCCTCAGCAGACCTTCAGTGCGCAATTTGATGTTAAGGAGTACGGTAAGAATCCAGCACCCACCGGGCCCAGGCTAAGGGAGTGGGTCTGTCTCTACTCTCCTGACACCATCTTGGAGCAGACTGTCCATTCGGCTTGGTTTTGCTGGCAACCCACCCTCTCCTACAAGCTCAATGTTCTCCTCTTCCCCTCTCGTTTCTCCAGTGTTGCCGAGTTTCGAAGTCATATTGGAACCGTCTGAGAAGTTTTTATACATCGATAGCAATGAAGACTTCAGGGTTTCTATCACTGCGAGGTGAGTCTGTGAGCAGGTGGAAGGGATCAGCTGAGTGGGGTATCAACCACCGGTTTTAGTGCAGAAAGAAACCTAAATTTTGCCTCACTTTGGGAATGTTCTCCACTAATTATTTTTTTTTCATGAAGAGCGACCTTTTTCCATGGAAAATTCTTTTTTTTTTTCATCCAAAAACCAATGTCCAAAAATGGAAAAAAAATTGTCCGAAAACCTTGTGATTCAGAAATGCTGGCGCGGTGCCACACGGGAGTTGCCATTCGGGTGTTTCATTCTTCCATTCTTCTCCAGGGGCTGGGCTTGCTAGCTGGACTTAAACTCCCATAATGCACCATAGCCATGATGGTCCCCTTCTCCTTAACATGGTGGATCATGGGAGATATAGACCAACCAAGGAGCTGGGCCTATAGAGGAGAATGGTGGCATGAGGCCATAATATTCAGCAATAGGTTTTCTTCTGGCTTCTCTTATCCATCCTTATCTCCTCCAGATACCTATATGGGAAAAAACTTGATGGCAATGCCTTTGTCCTCTTTGGGGTGAAGATGGATGATGAGAAGAGGAGTATCCCGCAGTCTCTCAAGAGAATCTCGGTAATTCCTGTTCCCGGCTGTGGGGGGGAGGGATTCACGCCTCCTGGGGAACTGCGTGGGTGGGGTCATGAAACTCTCTCTCCCTTTCTAGATAGATGATGGAGATGGGGAAGCAACGCTGACCAGAGAGATGCTGCGGGCTCGGTTTGCCAACCTGAACGAACTGGTTGGCCACTCGCTCTACGTCTCTGTCACCGTTTTGACAGAATCTGGTGAGCATCAGCAATAAGTGCAAAGCCAAGTGCTTTATTCCCGGGGTGTTCCAAACCGGTGCCGAGTGTAGTTCAAGGTGTTGATTTAGATGCATAAAGCCCTATCTGCTTAGGGTTCTGCAGCTCTTAAAGGCTGCAGGCCAGATTCTGATCTCATTCGCTCTGGGGTAAACCTGGTGTGAGGGTTGCCCCAGGGTGCCACCTGATGTATTGGGGTATCACTGAGCCTGCCTGTTCCACCAGCCTGGGCTCCCTTACACTGTTCTGCTGAGCCAGGCCCTCTCAAGTCTCCTCTAGCACAGACACAGGTAGGGACACGCCCAGCTGCAGAAAGACAGACACTGAAATCAGCACTGCAGGGGAAGGCTTCAGCTAAGGAATTTCCCAGCACTCAAGTGCACTCCCCCTCTGGAGTGTAAACCCCAAATTGTACTGTCTTGCACTGCACAGAGAACTGTACAGCGTAAGCTCCTGAAATTCCACCCCCTCCCTCAATGTGAAGGACGATATGCACAGCTTTTTGCTCCCCAGTTATGAATTCCACTAACTGGTTTTAGAGAAAACAAAACCAAGTTTATTAACTACAAAAGATAGATATTAAGTGATTATAAGGCATAGCAAACAGATCAAAGCAGATTACCCAGCAAACAAAACAAAAACACAACATAAGCTGAGATACTAAAGAAACTGGTTACAAGCCATTATTTCTCACCCTAAAGGTTGTTTAGGCAGATTGCAGAGTTTCTTGAAGGCAAGCTGCTCTTGCTTGCAGCTTCAAACTCCAGGTATTTCTTTCACAGACCAGACACACTCTAGCCTGAGTTCAGTTCTGTCTTCCCCAGATCAGTCTTAGGTGTGTTTACAGCAGTCACCTGGGGTGAAGATTCAGTGAAGAACCCACCCTGATTATCTCACTTCCCTGCCTTAAATAGGTTTCACATATAGCGGGAATCCTTTGTCTTCCAGTATCAGAGGGGTAACCATGTTAGTCTGGATCGGTAAAAAGCAACAAAGTCCTGTGGCACCTTATAGACTAACAGATGTATTCACCCACGAAAGCTTATGCTCCAATACATCTGCCTATAAGGTGCCACAGGAGTCTTTGTTGCTTGTCTTCCAGTGCGATTCCCATCCCTGGCCAGTGGAAAAGTACTAATTTTATTATGGAGTCTAGTATCAGGTGACTTAATCACATGACCCTGCAGCCATAACTCCAAGTCCATTTGCAGCATCCCTGGGAGATGGGAGATTACCCTCTTCAAAGTCCTATTGTTCTCCCTACTAGTCTAATAGTCTATTGACTTGTATCCAGCTAGCCAGCCAGACTGTTTGCATTTTGTGGGCATTCTCCAGGTGCAAACACTTTTGTAGTACAGATGTATAGTCAATATTTATAACTTAAGATACAATGATACAGGCATACAAATGGGATACTCATATTCAGTAAATCATAACCTTTCCAATGATATCTCACAAGTCCCATCTTGCATAAAACACATCTTAGTTATGCTATAATCATATAACAACAATATTTCTCTGAAGAATATGGGGTGTAGTGTCACACCTGGAGTAATTCCAGATTTACACCAGTGAAAGTAGCTTGAAACTGTTGGCCCTTTGTTTTCTGTGCATTGCACCTTTCCATTTCTAAGAGCTCCGGGTCAGCTCCTAGGGACGGTCTAGGCATACTTACTCCTGCCTCAGTGTGTGGGATGGACTAGAGGACTCCTTGAGGTCCCTTCCAGCTCTACATAGCTATGATTTCTAAACTTTCCCTGCAGAGGGAGCAGCCATTCTGTTCCGAGCAGCTGTAGCTTGTTAATGATGAAACTAGTAACTGAAAGCCTGTGCCATTGCACGGGTGTGGCAATTGGACCAAGTAATCCAAACAACCAATGACATTACTGCATGCAAATTAGTAGTAGAGTCAAGGTGGTGATTGGTTGGTTGAGTTGTGTCTGATATCACAATGGTCTAGAACTCTTGGCATGGCACATGCCTTACTGGAGTTGTACACCAGCCTGGTAAAGGCAGAATGGCTGGGGACTTAAAAATTGGCCTGTAACAGACTTCAAATCCTGGTGACGATTGAACCTGGTGATATTGTAAGTAAAAAGAGCCCTTCTCTTGTTTGTATAGCTGCTTCCATCACTTCACACAGAAGCAACAGACGTTCTAGGCTTCAGAGTGGTACATGGACAGAGTGACAGTCCTGGAATCTTATAATATAGATACACACACACACACTTTGCTCTCTCTCTCTCCCAGAGACTTTGTTTTTGTTCTTTCTTGTTGCATCTTTAAAAGCTAAAATAAGTAGTTTTAGCATGAAAGGGGCTGATTCTGTTTTCACTGCTACAGTGCCGCTGACTACAGGGGAGTTATTCCTGATTTATACTGGCATGAGAACAGAATTAGGGTCAACATCCTGCAGTAATGCCAACCCCTAACATGGAAAAATCACAAGTTATTCCCCCCGCTGCCAAAATCATGGGATCATATTAAAAATCATGAGTTTTTTTTTTTAAATAGTAAACTTTGCGTGTTTTTCTTTCCCTTCTGACTGTGGAGGCGTTAGATCACACTTGGGACATGTTTTCAAGCTTTTCTCTGCAACCAGGAGGGTTAGAAACTTAGTTCTTCTTTTAAACAACAGCTGAGATTCTCATGCCATATGGTGATTCTAGCAGCTGGGGCTTGAAGACAAGGAATTAAAACAGGAGACTCATGATAAACTCGTAAGAATCAGCAGCACTGAATCAACATCTGACCATGGCCTATTCCTTGTGTTTTACTCTGGACCTTAAGGACAAAACCTGTATTCCCTAGCTCAGTTTTAATTGATCCATGGCTTCTCTCTGCAGGCAGTGACATGGTGGAAGCGGAGAGAACTGGAATTAACATTGTGACATCTCCCTATCAGATCCACTTCACAAAAACACCCAAGTACTTCAAGCCGGGGATGCCCTTTGAACTCATGGTAATATCTCTTCTTCTGAAACATGCCCACTGTTGCCTGAGGTGTATAAAGAGGAGAGAACTATGGGTACTAGGGTGATGAGGGTGGTATAAGAACTTAGATCAGAAACAAAGGGCCACATTCCGATCTCAGTTACACCAACCTAATTCCAGTGTGACTCCACTAAATGCAATGGAATCACTGTAGATTTGCACCAGACTAACAAGAGCAGAGTCTGGCCCGAAAGCTGACAGCAAATACAAGGTGTGGAATGGCACCTAGCTACAGGCTTGGCCCAAAATGTCCCTTGGGGTCACTCGTGTACCACGGGATGATATTCCCTGGACTGTGTTAGTTGCTGGGGCTTCAGGCTTTTCTGACTGTAGAGGGGAATTGGGCACAGGTGAGGAGTTCCAAAGAGGGGGGGATTTGCAGAACTAGGGGGCAGAGGGACCATTGTGGATAGGAGGATGTGGGGGAATTTCAAAATTGGCACTGACAGAATGATTCTTCTCCCAGCGAGTTAGGCTGCATTACAGGGGGAGAAATATTATGCTCCTAAAATTTTGAACCAATCAGCATCAGTCCTCTTGTCCGCAGAGAATATGGTTTGGGGTCCCACGCTCCTCCGGGGCTGAAGAGTTTGTGAAGGGAATTTAGTATTTTTCTGACAGCAGGCGCGTAAGACTATAAATTAGCAGAGAACTGAAGCAATTATCTTTGGCTGCAGACCAAATGTGCATGACCACAGTAATGAGCAGGTTAAGTCCATTTCTTATCTGGATACTTGCTTTAGGTACAGTGGTGAATGGGATAAACATAAAAAGGAGTCAAAGGGCTGAACCGTAAGATCCATGCAAGTAGCTGTCTGTTTTTCTTGTGTGCATGGGGGTAATTGAATTGCACCGGCTCTCTGAATGCTTAGGGCTAACGTGGGTGCTCAAATTTTATACCATGTGGAAATTTGGGGCTGGAATGTTCTTAGGTCCGAGGTGCTGAGTTTCTGATTTCCCGGGGATGCTCGACCCCTGCTCCGTCCCAGGCCCCGCCCCCACTCCACTCCTTCCCCCATGGCCCCACCCCCCTCTTCCCGCCCCGCTCTGCCCTGCCTGCTCCTCCCACTGCCCCCCCAGCACCTCCTGCCCACTGCTGAACTGATCCTCGGTGGGCAGGAGGCGCTGGGAGGGAGGCACTAGGAGGGAGGGGGAGGAGCTGATCGGTGAGGCCTGCTGGTGGGTGCTGAACACCCACTATTTTTTTCCCCGTGGGTGCTCCAGTCCCGGAGCACCCACAGAGTCGGCACCTATGCTTAGGTCATTAGAGGTAGTGCAAAATACATTCTTGGGGAGAATACTTGATCTTCTTAACTAAAGCTAGCGTGGGTACTGTTGTCAGACGCCACCGGTGTGGTGCTCTGCTCTGTTTAATGTTGATAACAGTCAGCTGTGTGTGTGTGTGTGAGACCCTGAGAGAACCCCCAATGACCACAGACTCCGATAAGATACGAAGGCCCCCGGCCAGGTTTATTGTCAAACGAAACACAGTAATAGTTTCCAGCAGTCTCTACAGGACATACTACGAATATGTGCCCCCTGACAATGGACTGGCTCAGTCAGTGTCGGGACTCTCCACTACCCCCTAGGCCAGACAAAGACACTGCCCCAGAGATGTATTCTAATACACAGGTACAAACAAGTTACACATCATTCCTGACGTACTGAGGTGCAACTCCTCTATGTAGCAAGGTACAACCCCTCTACGCAGTAAGGTGCCGCCTCTCACCTGGTACATGTTGGTTAGAACAAAACAACTCTATCCATCATGTTACCCTTTTGCCCGTCTTTAGGATGGGTCGGCCTGTTCTTTGTTATCTGTGTGGAATGTGCAAGTATCTGAGTGTTCTGGTACCTTTTAGGTATGTGTCTTTTTGCAACATCCCCCCTTTCCTTGCCAGCTTCTGTGAGCAGGGCCTGCCTCTTGCTCACAGCTTAACTTTGCTTTATGTTAGCAAAGTCTCGACCATTACTTTAGTTCAGGCCTCAGGCCTCATACCAGGCCTCTTATACAAGAGTTTGTTTCAGGGCCTCATCTTACTACAGATACATCGGCTTGAGCTGCGTTCACACCCTATGACTGGGTAACACTGACAACCAGGGTCTGTCGGTGAGCAGGATCGAACCTGGGATCTCCAGAGCTAAATGCATAAGCTGCCACTGCATAAGCTAAAAGCCACAGGGCACTTAGCTAAGGCTGTAGTAGACTCATTAATCGCTAAGTGATTGAGATGCCACTAGAGGGGGACAGAGCGCCACAGCCAGCAGGCATGGCGTGGGTACAACTGCAGCCTAGACATCCCCTAAGTCAGAGTGTGAAAACTTTAATTAACCTCAGAGTTGAAGATATTTGTAACCAACTGGACACGACGGATGTTAGTGCAACAAATACGTCTCCCTGGCTCCCTTATTTAAAGAGCATCCATAGATTCAAGAAATATTTGGAAGTCTTGACTCACTGGCTTGACTACTCCAATCAACTCTACTCCCATCCACTTCCTGTGTGTTAATTGCCACTTGAGAAATAAATGGCTATCTCCAATCTTGGCTCAGATGCCTTTTGCCTCATTAGCTCAAAAAGCAGAATATTTGTTGGCAGTGATCCTGTTTTGGTTAGATGGGCAGTTGCCTTATTTGCCTGGGGACAAAACAAGAAAAGACTAGCGTGACATTAATTTCCTCTCTGACCTACATGAATCAATTTATTATATTAATTTTTGTATATTGTTTTGCTGGGTATATAAAAGTGTACACTGAATTTAGGAGCAGGGTTGAAGTTGTGGTTTTTATCTTTTTGTATGCTTGTAGTTTTTAAAATGTGTGTGCATTTTGTGGTGTGATACAGCAGATCACTGAGGCCCCATTCCTCAGAGTTATTTAGATGCCTAATTCCCATTGAAATCCACGGAAGTTAGGCACCTAAATACCTTTGAGGCTATGGACCTGGATGCTGTACATGCCATTTGATTTGAAGTTAGGATGCAGGGAGCGCTGCACCCCTTGTTTGATGCATCCCTTTTTGATCGTGCCTCTCAGGTCTATGTCACAAACCCCGATGGCTCTCCAGCCCCCCGTGTCCCAGTACAGGCTGAAGGATTCCAGTCGGCTGGGTCGACCCAGGGAGATGGAACTGCCAAGCTGATTATAAACATGCCCGGGGATAGGCAGCAGGTTCCCATCACGGTGAGTAACCTTCAAACACTGAGGCTGGGCTAAGTACTATATGCACCCAGAGGGCAATGCCCTGTTGGTGGCGTTCACTCCCCTCTCATGCACTAAGCAGGAGGATAACTGAACTCTGTGCATTCCACCTGTACCTGGGGTCAGTTTCCTGTATACCATTGGGTTTTGGAGATGCTCCAATCACCATGTAACCAATGCTCCATCATGAGGCAAGATGAGATCCCAGAAAACATTGACATGGGTGTAAGCAGGTCCAGTTTAGTCCCCTTGCCACACTGAAGGTACCCACCATGCAGCAAAGGAGCCTGTAGACAGCGCATGGCTGCTTAGCGTGAAGACCCTGTGAGGTGACACCAGGCTCAAGCTACAAAGCCCGAGAGAACACTGGATCTATCTGTGTCCAGCCGCTTCAGGAGAGAGTCCCTCTTTATATTCATCTCACCCCTCCTGCAAGGGGCAAGGCAGTCTCCTCTGTTCAGGGACATGTTCTCTGACAGTCCAGAAATCTGGAGTCCCAGCAGGACTGTGCTGAAGCGACGGGCCAGTTAAAAGTGACATTTGGCGTTTCTCTGAGGTGTCATGCCTAGAATGGCTGTTAGCAGCAGAATCCACCAACAATGGCGTCTCAGGGAAGCTTCCTTTGCTATTGCTCGTGGTGTGACCCAGCGTGAGGGGCTATAGACCCTAAGCTCACTCCCAGATTCAACTAAGATTTTATCTCCACCTCCCCTGCAGGTAAAAACTGCCCATCCCAACCTCCCAGCAAACCGCCAGGCCTCTAAGTCCATGGTGGCTGAAGCCTATCAGTCCCAAGGAGGGTCTCAAAACTATCTCCATCTGGCGGTGACGGCTTCTGACCTCAAACCTGGAGACAACTTACCTGTGAATTTTCATCTGAAGAGCAACAATCCAGCTGTTCTGAACCAGATCAAGTATTTCACCTACATAGTAAGTGCTGCGTCCCTGGGTACTGGGATCTCCTGGAACTTAGGCATCATCTGAGTTTCCACCTGTCCTTTAATAGTCCCACTGCATGTAAGGAGAACCTGTAGCAGAGAATTCTTCCCAGTCAGGCAGTATATTCATTGTGTGTCTGTGTAGCAGTGTGTGGCAGGGCCCCCTTGGCTTCTGCCTCTGCTAGGTTCATAAAGTCACTCTGAGACCCTGGGTTTAGTAACCACTGGTGCACTTTATTCTCAAGCTTGTTCCCACCACTGTTTCACCACGTACAGGTAACCCTCACTGTCTGCAGGCAGGAGGGAGGGGGAGCTACCTCCCTGCTTTCATTCCCTGCCTTTTTCCTTTTCTCCTGCTCTCCCCTGGCTTCCTTCCCCTGAGACTTTTATGCATCCACAGTCTAATTAGTAGCAGCTGTCTCCACCTCTCCAATTAGGGCCAGGTTACCTCCAGTCTGCTCTAATTTGTTCCCCTAATGAGGAGTGGGCATGACAGAGGGCTGAAGCTGCAACCCTTTGCCCAGCACCCTGTCGCAGTGTGAATGAAATAAAGTCAGTCATGGGGACGACCCCTTATCCACTTCTGGTTACTGACTCCAGGCCCTGTGATAATCAATAGAG